ATATACTACTATTTACGCCTTTCGTTACGGAGAACTTTATTATATTATTATATTACTTCCTTCTATTCTTCCTACGACTCGGGTATTCTTATACGGTATACGCGTCTATATAGCCTTCGGGCGTCTTATCTACTTTCCCGTACTTAAGGAATCCCCTTTACTTCTAGGGGCCGGTATATTCGGTATAGTACGTGTTTATTTCTTATATTCTAGTATATTTATAGAAGTATCTATACAGCCTGGTCTATAGCTAGGTCGTTAGATATATCGACTATAGAGGGATCTAGAATCGCCGATTCCAGGTCCTTTAGATACTTTTTCTAGTTAGTGTCCTTCTATATCTATCGTCCCCGTTATTTATTCGGGGTATACACGTTTATTACGGTTTCCATATATTTATAGTCGGAATCCGTCTATACCTAGCCTAGGCGGTAGTATTAGATCCGGTAACTAATATACTCCGTAGCGAAGGTAAGGTTAAGCGTAGACCCGTCTTCGTCCTATTTATATTTTTTCTATATAACTTATTCTATAGATATAAGTAGGTATAGGAAGTCGTCGTAGCGGGTGCGTAGTTCCCTTACTCTAAGTTCTTCCCTAACCACGGCTAGGCCTCCCTACTATTAGTAGTAGAGGTTAAAGTCTCCTAGGAGGATGTATTACCCTAGTTCCGTAGTACCCTCGAGCATCTCGTCTAGTATAAGTATACGTTATTAGTTATATATGTTATATATATATAGGGGGCCTATATCTATTTATAGATATAGTATTATCCTAAGGTTATTACGCTTAGTATATAACTATAATAAGAGTAGTATTAACCTATAAATATAGAAGAGGACTTATCTTTCTAGTCCTAGAGGGTATATAGTATAGTATCCGGGGTGTATAGTTAGTTTACTCGTCTAGTAGTATTTATAGGGTTCCTAGATAGCGAGTATTATAGCCCCGGTCTCTTTAAGGAGCGTCGCCTAGTTCTCTCTTTTATATTATACGTTTACCTATATAATTCGGAGTATATTCTAGTCTCTTATTAGGTACTAGGGAGTATATATATCTATATACTTATTCCTTAGAGGCGCGACTATCCTCACGCGGTAGCGGCTTTAACTATGCCTTTTAGTTATTCTATCGTCTTTAGAATAGTCTACTATCCCGCCTAACTACCTTCCGGAGGGGAGATTAGGGGTATTATAAAGGAAGGGCCCGTGGTAGGTATTATATTCTATAACTATCTCGCGCCTCTCGCTTTTATCGTACGAATATATTCTATAACCTCTTTACGTTTTATACACGTTAACGACTATAACGGATATTTCCCGTCGTAGTTTAAACACTATACTATGTCTCTATTTCTTGGTCCGTCTCCTCGCGGTTTATAAGGGTACTCCTAGGTAGTATGGTCCCTACGGTACTATCCGCACTTACTCTTCTATAAGTACCTTTATATAGTATATCTATACCCTTAATAGTTAAAGTACTATATTATTACCTATACTCTATTCTATAGCTCGGCCTTAAGGAGCTCTCCTTCTATTAGAAATCCCTTCTATATAATATATTATACGAGGGCGGGGTCTCGGAGCTCTATAATTATAGTAGAGTGTTTTTTCGCCGTCGTCTTAATCGCCTATAGGTTCTTCTACTACGCTTTTATAATCTTAATCCCTAGGTATTTTCGCGTATTAGATTATTCTATACACGTAATATCCTCCGCTCCGATAGCCTATCCCCGCACGGGTACTATATATACTATAATTAGGTATATAGCTACCCTAATAGACGCGCCGGGGAAGATACTATCTATCACGTTCGGATCTCGTGAGATATTTTACTATATAGTATTTATTATAGTAGTAAGTACTACTCTACCTAGCGTAACTTTAGTAGCCACGACGCTTAACTATATTCCTTTCTATTTATTAATCTTATTTATAATTTCCTTTAGGGATACCTATTAGACCTACGCTAGTATGTCCTTATCCTAGATTATAATACGTATACTATATACTCTATCTATAGTCCTAGTAGTCCTTAGTATAGTGGCTCCGGGTATTACTATAATCTAAGCCTACGTGTTAGGGCGCTTACCTTAGAATAGCTCTTTCTAGATTCTCCGTAGGCTAGCTTCTATTCGGTCGAGCCTACTACTAGATTCCTCTCGTGGCGACTTCCTTTCTTCCTCTATAATTTCTCTTAGATTCCGGATAAGGTCCTGGAATATATAAAGGAGGGTCTTCTTTCCCTTCTCGGCGTCCCTCTCTACACGTATTACCTAGTATTTAATTTTATCTAGGAGGGTCTCCCCTCTCGGGGTCCCCTTAGTCTAGGTTATCTATAGCGCTTCGCACCCTTAGTTAGTTCCTATATTTTAGATAGGTGTCTAGCTATCTATATTAATGTCGCTATATAGCCGTTTCTACCGTACTAGTAGGGGTATATCTAGCGTATACCGGGGTATTACGATGCCTAAGGCCGCTATAGTTATTAGTTAAGGGTAGCCCTTAACTAATAAAAGGGGGTCGGCGTATTAGCGTTTATTAGATATAGTCTATACTCGTGTTATCGAAGAGTCTTCGAGTATATATATATAGTATCTCTATATATTAGTATTATCGTGTATTATACGCTATATGTACGTACGTATGTTAGAGGTTGTTATACTTAGTATACTCTATTATTTAATATATGTAAATCGCTGTTTTGCCCCGAATTGACCAGTTTAGTCCGTTAGGGTGTAAGAAGTTTTTTTCCGCTAGAATTAATACTAATTATAGAGGATCCCTATTATTTAATATAATAATAATAATATTAGTAAACTAGGTAGAGTACCACTCTATAGGCGCATGCCTCCTCTAGTCTAAGCTACTATATAAGAAGAAACCTACGAATAGGAAAAACTCCCTTATATCCATGACTACGCTCTATCTATCCTCTCGTTCTTTATATATATATAGCCCTAGAGGCTACTCATAGGCCTATAGCCTATATTATAATAGTTTACCCTTAGGTAGCACGTGTAGATACGGAGATTATTAGTTAAGGGCTGCCCTTAACTAATAATCGCGGTTCTCCTAGGGTTCTTCCGACGTATACTAGGGTTCTTCTAGTATATATCGGGCTTCTTCCGGTATATATACGCGGGTCTACTAGAACTAGAGGAGAGGAAGATGTACGAGCATCTATTAGGCGACGTCCTTAGGGTACTTATTAAGCTATTATATAATATCGGAGATTCTCGTTATACGGACGAGGGCTTATCTTAGGGTATAGAGGCTAGAGTACGTCGCGAGGTAGTGGCGTATTATACCTCTCCGGCCGTAGTCCTCGCACTAGGGAGATATATCTAGGACGCCTCTCTAGTAGAGGTAATATAGAAGATCTATAGCGCCTGTTTAGGCTTAGAGGAGTATAGATGCTTAGGCCTTCGTAAGCCCTTTATACATCTATTTACTCGGTTCCTTCTAAGGCCCTTAGATCTATTCTAGATACCTATCCTATTAGGAGGCCCACTAGGCTTTAAGTACCTCCCTCTATTTATCCTAGATCCACGACTATATAACGCGGCTAAGCTCCTTAGGGCTCTATTAGCTCAGGACGGTATCTAGATTATTTCGAACCTCCTACGCGGTCTAGCTTAAGTCCGCCTCTATATAGTATTTATATTATACTCGAGTTTATCCTATAGTAGGGAGGGCCTAGTAATACGCGTGGATATGTGTGCGTAGTACGGCGAAGGTATATACCCTATCTCCTCTACGTTCTTATACTTATTATTTAGTAAAGTATATAAGTCTCTATATCTAGTAGAAGTCCTATATACTTATTACGTTTATCTCGCGTCGGAGGAGCGTTATGTTAGTAGCTTTATATACGCCGGAGATAAGGCGGAGTATACGGTTTTATATAGACTTAAGCTTTACCCGCTAAGCTTATATAAGGGCTGTGTACTAGCACTCGTGTCCGTATATAAAGGCTAGGCGTGCTAGGGAGACGTATAGCTATCTCGCCTTATCCCGGGCTATTCCCTACGTGGATGCCGTAATCTAGTATATAGCGGTTTCTACCTAGAGGGCTCTAGAGACGGCGTGTGCCACCTATAGTCCCTATTTTAGCTTATTATCGATTATAACGCCGAGTGCTCGTATACTCTATACTAGTGGTTCTATAAAGGCGTCGATTTAGGGGCGACGTGCCCCCTCCCTAGTAGCCTATCCTCTATAGTAGTTAATAAAGTATATAAGCTAGTATTTTTTAGGTGCGAATTTTACTCCGTGGCGCTTTACCCACTAGACGCATTTCTTATAGTCTCATTCGAGTCGTATACATGTTCTACTAGTACTACTATCGACCGTAAGGAGGTATATATCGTCCGCGTATCCGACTACCTCTATATATTCTATTCTCTAAAGGAGGTCTACTATAAAGAAGAGGAAGAGGATCGGGGAGATAGTGCTCCCTTACGGGATGCCATATACCGTCTCCTTATATTCGCTTCGGTATCCAGGGATATATATTTAAGTAGTCCTTTACGCGAGAAAGGACTATATAAATCATATAATCTACTTAGGTATTCGCCTTATCCGGAGGTTATAGATAAGTCTTATATAGTTTACCTTATTAAACGCCCCTACTATATCTAGGGAGAGTAGCATAACGACTCGTCCTTATTTCTATATAGTCTAGATAACCTCGAGGATATATTAAATAGCTATAATTAGGGAGCTTCCTACCTTCGCCTTCTAGTTTACTAGGAGAAGGCCGTGTACCTATACTACTATACTTATCTTCTTAGTAATCGTAGCTTCTAGTACCTTACTAAGGTAGAAGAGGAGGGTAATCGGCCTCCATCCCTTTAGCGTGTTTAGGCTCTTCCCTAGTTTTAGGAGTATAACCGTGTATATAGTTCGGAAGCTCTATAGGTGGTATCCTATATAGGCGCACGCTCGGAATATATAGCCTATAATTAGTAAGGTCGCCTATATGGTCCTCTTAAGGTATTAATTCGGAATTCTATCTAGCCCGGGCGCTTTATCATTCGGGAGTGTCTTAATAGCGCCGAGTATATTATTATCCGTGATTTCTCTAGGGATACTCACGGCTTCTAGGTATTCCGTGCCGTTAATATCTAATAGGTCTATAGGTTCTAGGAGAGGGAACATAACCTCTCGTAGGATCTCTATTTTCTCGAGGCTCGTGGAGTACGTCTTTTCTTAATATATAAGAGGGGGTATAAGTAGTATAGGTGTCGGGGAGGCGGTGCTTTTGGCCCATTTTACCATATGCCATAGTCTAGTAGTATTACGTGTATATCTATCCGTGACTATATACTACTATTTATATCGCTCGTTACGGAGGACCTTATCTCGTTATCTTCTCGCCTCTCTCTATTTATCCTACGCTTTAGATATCTAGTTATAGTATACACGTATATATAATCTCTAGACTTCTCGCCTATGCTCTCGTACTTAAGGTATACTTTTCGGGTCTAGGGGTCTATATATTCGGTACGGCACGTGTTTATCTCTTACTCTCTAGTACGCCTATAGGAGTGTATTCACGGCCTGGTTAATGGCCGGGCCATTAGATACGTCGACTATAGACGGGTCTAGGATCGTCGATTCCAGGTCCTTTAGGTACTTTTCCTAGTTAGTATCCTTCTATAGCTATCGCCCTCGTTAGTCTTAAGGGGTGGATACATCTATTACGGTCTCCATATATTTATAGTCGGAGTCTATCTATATAAGGCTTGGGCGGTAGTATTAAGTCCTATTATAAATATGTCTAGTGGCTAGGGTAAGGTCGAGTATGGATCCGCCCTTATCTTATTTATATTTTCGCTAGATAATCTATCCTACTAGTATAAGAAGGTATAGAAAGCCGTGGTATCGGGTGTATAGTTCTCTAGCTCGAAGCTCTTCGCGGGTGACGGTTAGTCTACCCTACTAGCTATAATAGAGGTTAAAGTCTCCTAGGAGGATATGTTATCCTAGCTCGGTAGTACCCTTAAGCATATTATCCGCCTAAAGCGATTAGTTCTAATTATATATATTATATATATAGAGGGGTCCGATATTTATCTAGAGGTATAGTATTATCCGGAGATTATCCCGTTTAGTATACGACTATAATAAGAGTAGAATAGACTTATAGATATAGACGAGGACTCTCCTCTCCGGTCCTAGGGGGTGTATTATATAATATTCTAGGTATGTTATTGGTTTATTCGTCTGGTAGTATTTATATAGCTCCTATATAGCGAGTATTATAGCTCCGGTCTCCTTAAGGAGTATCGCCTGGTTCTTACGTTTATACTATACGTTTACCTATATAATTAGGAGTATATCTTGGTCTCTTATTAGGTGCTAGGGAATATATAGACCTATATATTTATTTCTCTAAGACGCGACTATCCTCGTACGGCGGCGGCCTTAGTAATTCCTTAGGGCTGTCCTATTATTAGCTTTCTCGGGATAGTTTACTATTCCTAACCGCTTCCTTATAAGGAGGTAGTCTATAGTAGTAGTATTATAGTAAAGAGAGGAACGGTAGTAGGTCGTATTATTTATAGCTACCTTACTCCCTTCATCCGGATTAAGTGGATATATTTAGTAATCTATTTACGTTTCGCGCACGTAGCCGACCACGACGGGTACTTACTATTGTAGTTAGAGTACTTCGCCATATCCCTATCTCTTTAGCCCTCTCCTTATATTCCGTAGGGGCACTCCTAGGTACTATATTCTTATTAATACCACCTATATCTAGTCTTTTAGGAGCACTGCTATACCGTATACCCGTATCTCTAATAGTTAAAGCACTATATTATCGCCTATACTCTATCCTATGGTTCTACTATAAGAAGCTCCCCTTCCGCTAGGAATCCCTCTTACGTAATTTAATGCGCGAGGGCGGGGTCCTTAAGCTCTACTATTATAGTAGAGTATGCCTTTAATCTAGTTTTAATCCCTTATATATTCTTCTACTATGCTCTTATAATCTTAATCCCTAGGTATTTTCGCCCGTTTAACTATTCTATCCGCGTAATATCCTCTTCTCTAATAACCTATCCGCTTATAGATATAGAGTATATCTATATCGGGTATATGGCCGCCCTAATAGAGGCGTCTAGAAAGATGCTACTAATCGCGTTCGGATCGCGCGAGATAGTCTACTACGCGATATTTATTATCGTGGTAAGTACTACTCCTTCTAGCGTAAGTTTAGTAATAATAACGTTTAACTATATTCCCTTTTATTCGTTAATCTTACTTACTATATCCTTTAGGGATACTTGCTAGACCTATACTAGGGTATTCTTATCCTAGATTACGACGTATATACTATATACCACGTCGCTGGTCCGGGGGGCCCGTAGTATAGCCTCCGGTATTACTACTATTTATATCTATATACTAGGGCGCTTACCTTAAGTAAGTTCCTCCTAGATTCTACGTAGGCTAGCCTCTATTTAGTCGAGCCTATCCTTCGGTCCTCCTAGTTATATCTTCTTCTCCTCCTCTATAATTCCCTTTAGATTCCGGATAAGGTCCTAGAATATATATAGAAGGGTCTTCTAGCCCTCTCCGGCTTCCTTCTCTATATATACTACCTAGTAGTTAATATAATCTAGGAGGGTTTCCCCTCTCGGGGTCCCCTTTATTCCGTCTATCTATGGCGGCGTGCGCCTTTAGATATGTTCTACGTTTTAGATAGGTGTATAGTTACCCTTAGTAATATCGCTATATGGCCTTTTCTATTATACCGGTGGGGGTATATCTAGTATATACCGGGGTATATCGGTGCCTAAGGCCGCTATATTTATTAGTTAAGGGCTACCCTTAACTAATAAAAGGGGGTTAGCATATTAGTATTCTAGTAGCGTAGTCCGTGCCTCTATCTCCGTAAGGATTTTAAGAGGGTATATATATATCTTTACACGGCGATAACGTCTTAGTTTCGACGCTATACGTACGTGCGTATAGTAGTAGTTAGTATACTCGGTATACTCTATCGATTAAGGTGTATATCTCGCTATATTACCCTGAATGGACTAAGTTAGCCTCTTGGGGATGTAAAAGTAAAGTTTAAATAGTTTTCCTATCTAACTATACTACTATCTAATAACTCTATTCTTATATTCGAATTACTCTCTATATAGTACTATAGTTAAGATAGTCTAACTAGAACTAAGAAGGTTAACACGATCTACTATAGGGATAAGTAATACTATATTAAATAATAGGGATCCTCTATAATTAGTATTAATCCTAGCTATTTCTAACTAAGAAGTAGAGATATTAGACTAAATCACGGAGCTTTTAGACGAAGAAATAGTAGATATACTAAGTAACTTCTAATAATATAAAGCTAGATAATAAGTTATAGCGGAGCCACGTAAGGTATTATAATAAACTATTACTAAACTTTAAGAATACGTTATAAATTAGACTTAAGAGATTTAAACTCTTAAAGAATAGATAGAACGCGCGAAACTCCTTATAAAGAGATAAGAACTTAAGGAGTCTCTTAAAGAACTACGCCGAATAATAGTAGATAGATAACTTTCTATACTAATTTAGGCGGAATTAGTTTACCTACTATTAGAGTTATAATAATCTACTATACTCCTAGCCGCTTCATTACCGATTTACCCTACTCCTTCTCTAGATATACTAAAATCTAAAGACCTAACTATATTTATAGAGAAGAACTAAAAGGAGTAGAAAGACTAGAAGAGAGACTACGAAAAGTACTTCCTTAATAATCCTCTACTCTTTTCTACTAAAGTATAATATATTTTATTTAGAGAATAATACCTAGACTTATAATTCTATAATTAATAGAATATATAGAAGGAAGTATAGCTACTATCTGTAATAACCTAGAAATATTTAGCTATATTTATACTAAACACTCTTAGAACGGATAGAGAATATAAAAGAAAGGTACTATCTAAGTTAAGAAGCGTACTATAATAACCGAACTAGATATCTACTTAACTACTATAATACCTCTAAAACCTATAGAATAATATCTCTACGCTATAGAAAAATATTTATATATTCTAGTTGGCTACGAAGCCTCACGAACCGCGTCCACGTCGTCGTAGCTAGGCAATGCCTCTATAGAGGTAGTAAGAGGTTTAGAGCGGCGTTAATGGCAACCTAGTCGTCGCTAGATAGATGGTTAAAGAGTTTTCGCGGAGCGTCTACCTTACTAAACCACGCTAATATAACCTAGCTAGGGAAGTATATACTTTCATTCTATCCCTAATTAACGCGTTAAGAGAAGTTCACGAGAATAAAGGGATAAGAAAACCACCTAACGCGCTACTACTATGTCGAAAGCAGGCCTAAATCTATCTTACTAACTAGGTAGACGAAGCGGAGGTCCTAGTAGCGCGATAGGATACCTCGAGGCTTAAACGGCTCTAGGAACGTAAGGAACACGTCGAGGGTAACTAAGAAACTACTACTAGAAGAACTTATTAAAGCTAACTCTCCTATAGTATTAAACTACGTTTATTAAGCCGCCTAGTACGACTACTAGTAGCACGACTCTATTAAGACCTTTCGCTCGATACAAGATACCACTTTACTACTAATAGATAGAGTAGCTCCCGCGTACGAGAGATGTTATAGTCTACCATAGAAGGTAGGATACTAGAGTATATAGATAATAGTATATAGATATAGGTAGAAGGCAGCTATAGGGACCCTTTAAGAGTAGTAGAAATAAGTCAGGTTAGTAGAAAGAGAATACCTAAGTCGCCTAGGCGTATATACGTAAGGGATTTAGAGGATACTCTCCTATAAGACACGGTCGGCCTATTATAGAGAGATCCTTATAGGTAACGCGAAACCGAAAAGTAGTAATACTTAAAGGCGGGGCGTGGTATATAGTAGTAACTACTAGCTCTAAGGACCTTACCCCTTTAATAGGCTCTAACCCTTAGTATATCTAGAAGTAGATAGGATTACGTCCTAGCTAGAGAGACTACTATATAGCCCGAGAGAACGGATGCGCGTATCGATTTATAAAGAGATAGAACGTGTCGCCTATAAGGCACGTACGCTAGTATTATAAGTTTAAGGAGTAAACCTCGTAGTTACCTAGCTAGGAGAGGCTTCGGTTACCTCTTCTAGTAGAGCCGGAGATATAAGCCTAGAGGGGATAAGATAAGGCG